CAGCAGTACACCGCCCCGGTGCAGCAGCAAACTTCCCCGGCGCAGCAGTACACTGCCCCGGAGCAGCAGTACACCGCCCCGGCGCAGCAGTACACCGCCCCCATGCAGCAGCAAACTTCCCCGGAACAGCAGCACACCTCCGCAGAGCAGCACACCTCCGCAGAACAACACACCTCCACAGAGCAGCAGCAAATCTCCACACAGCAGCAGCAAACCTCCGCAGAGCAGCACACCTCCGCAGAGCAGGCCGCCCCCCCTGCCGATGCCACATCCCAGGAGCTGGTGGCCTCGGCCACGCAGTACGCATATTATTACGCATGCTCGGCCCTCCTGACCCTGCTCCAGGGCCAGGGCGTTCAGGTCCCGGCCGGGGCCGATGGCCAGCCGGATGTCTCCCTCCTGCCGGAGTACCAGCCCACCCTGCAGCAGTACTACGCCCACTACTATGGCGAGCTCATGGCCCAGTGGCTTCCGTCGGTGGCCTCGCCGGCGGAGCCCGCCGCCGCGGCCGACGCCACCGGCCCCATGGCCGACGCCTCGTCCGTGTATGCCACCCCGGCTGCGGCCGGGTATGATGGCTCCCCGGCGGTGGCATACACCCCGGCGGTGGCGGCCGGCCATTCCCCGGCGGCGGCCGGCTCTTCCGCCGCCCAGGCCGACCCCGGCACCTACTCGCCCCCGGTGGCCACATTCACCCCGCCGCAGCCCGGCGGCCAGTCCTACGACATGCCGGCCGTGGCCAGCCCCCTGCCGCCGGACACGCTGGTGGCCCCGTCGCCGGTGCTCGGGGTGTTCCAGCCGGGCGCCGGGACGGAGCCCGCCTCGCAGTCCATCGGGTCCGTGCACCTGCACGCGGCTGGCGCCTCGGGGGTCGGCCCGGCCGCCGGCGAAGCCCCCCCGGCCGATGCCGCCTTCGCCAGCGAGCTGGCCAGCCTGCTGCGCATGTACCCCGGGCCGCTGCTGCGCCTCGCCAAGCCGGCCGAGCATACCCTGGCCCTGGAGGCGGCCAGCCCCTCGCGGGTGGATGCCTTCCTCACGGCGCACCTGGAGGAGCTGAGCGCCTGCCGGGGCGGCGGCGGCGGCGGCGGCGGCGGCCCCGGCCCCGGCGACGAGCCCCCCGGGGCCGACCGCGCCCCGGATGACCTCGGCCCCGGGAGCAGCCTCGGCCTGCCCCAGCTGGCGGGATCGGCCTCGGCCGGGTCCTTCGGCCCGGAGCGCGCCCGGTCCGCCGCCCGCGAGGACAGCCTCTTCGCATGGCGCCTGCTCCAGGGGGTGGTGCGCCTGGCTGGCGCGGAGTTTGCCTTCGCGTCGGGCATCACGTCGGCCGATTGCCGGCAGGCCGAGCGCGGCCGGCTGGAGGCGGCGCGCGCCGCGCAGGCCGCCCAGCTCCTGGGCCTGGTCACCGGCCACGCCCGGACCAGCCCCACCTCCTACTATGTGTCGACCGTGGCCCGGAGCACCGCCACCACCGCCACCAACGGCGGCGGCGCCGGCAGCGGCGGGACCCTTTCCGGCGTGGTGTCGCCGCTGGCCTCGGCCGTGGCCAACGGCCTGGAGGGCGCCGGGCCGGCCGTCGGCCGGCCCCTCGGCGACCGCGAGCGTCGTGCGGTGGCCGGGCTGTCGGACCTGCTGGCCGAGACGCTGCTCGAGCTGTCGGCCCAGGCGGAGGGCGCGGCCGGCGGCACGGCCACGGCCACCGGGCCCGGCGGCGCCAGTGCCGCCAACACCGCCGCCAGCCTGGCCGGGCTGTCGCACTCCTCGGAGCTGGCCCTGCCGGCCACGGCCACCGGGCATGCGGCCGACTCGGAGGTCGGCCAGCTGGCCGGTCGGGTGGTGGCATCCCTCCGGCGGGCGGCGGCCACCGGCCGGCCCGGCGCCCCGGGGCCCGGCTCGGTCCTCGGGCGCCTGGCGCAGGAGGCCGCCCAGCGGGGCCTTTGGGCCTTCTCCCTGGTCCTGGGGTTCGTGGCGCACGACGCGGCCAGCAGCCTGCACCTGGCCGCCGGGGCGCCGGATCGCCCGGAGACCCCGGCCCTGCACCGGGCCTACCTGGAGGCGGCCCTGCCGGCCGGCGATCCGCTGCGCACCGCGCTGGACCTCTGCCTGCTGGCCCTCGGGCCCGGGGCCGCCGGCGAGGCCCTGGCCACCGGCGATGTGCCCGGCCCGGGCGATGCGCCTGCCGCGGCCTCCCCCCCGCTGCGGTCGGCCCTGCTGGGCCTTTGCCTGGCCCACTGGCGCGATGTGCTGGCCCTGCTGGCGTCGCTGCTGTTCACGGCCGGCGGCCTGCCCGGCCAGCGGGCCGTCTTCCTCCGGGCCATGTGCCTGCTGTCGAGCGCGCTCTTTGCGCAGGATCGCCCGGAGGCCGGGCACGCGGTGGCCCTGCTGGCCGGGTCGCCGCTGGCCGCGGTGGCCTGGAATGTGCCGCCCACGCCGGGGGCCCCGGCCACCGGGGCCGCCACGGTGGCCCCCGTGTGGCTGGCCCCCGCCGCCGGTGCGCACGACGGCCACGGCCCGGCGGCCGCCATCAACAACCCCTGCCGGGTGGGGGCCGAGTGGCCGCCGCGCTTGGCGCCGGTCCTGGCCGGCGCCCGGGGGTCCGAGGCGGCGGCCGCCGCCCTGGCGGCCCAGCTTCGCGCCGGCCTGACCGGCCGCCCGGCCGTGCGGCACCTGCACCCGGCCGAGGGGCCGGCCTCGGGGGCCGACGGGCCGGAGCCGCTGACCGACGCGGCGCTGGCCTCGGTCGGCGCCGGGCCCCTGCCCAGCCGCTGGCCCGCCGTCCAGGCCTTCCTCATGACCGAGCTGGCCGAGTATGCCCGGGTGTTGAGCTTCAGCGCGGAGCTCCTGCTGGCACTGGCCGCCGGCAGCCCGGTGGCCCCCTCCTCGCGGGTGACCGGCGCCCTGGCGGCCATCACCGGCTCCGGCCCGAGCATGTATGGCGCCGTGTCGACGGCCGGCTCGGGGGAGGGCCCTGCCCCGGCCGGGCCCGGGCGCGTGCCCGCCTGCAACCTGGCCACCACCGGGCCCGGGCCCGGGCTGCCGCCGGCCTTCCCCGGCGACACTGTCACCCTGCCCAGCATCGGGGCCCTGCACGCCTCGTGTGCCTGGCTGCATGTGTACCGGGTGCGCTTTGCCCAGCTGCTTGACGGGGCCGGCCTCCCGGGCGACCTGGCCTGGCGGTACATCCAGTTTGTCCGCCGGGCCGGGCTCGACCCGCGGGTGGGCTTCCTGGCGCTGTCGCTGCCCCCGGCCGAGGTGGCCCTGGCGCCGGTGCTGGCCGGCGGCCCGGCCCTCGGGCATGCCACCCTGCGCCAGCTGCCGCGCGCGTGGTTCCCCCGCGACCCGGCGGCCCTGGCCGACACGGAGCAGTTCTGCCGGCGCCTGGAGCAGACGCACGGCGCGCCGGCTCTGGACCGCGCGCCGGCCTCGGCCCCGGCCGGCGCCGCCGCCGCCGCGGTGGCCTCCGGCAAGGGGATCTCCGGGGCCGGGGCCGCCGCCGCCGCCGCCACCCGGACCTGGTTCCGCAATGTCGATGTCGGCGGCCTGCTCGAGCGCGGCCTCGAGCGCATCATCGGCGATGACACCGGGCCGCGCGGCGGCCGTGGCCCTGGCGCCCCCCCTGCCGGTGGTGCGGGTGATGCCGACGGCGCCGAGCCGCCGGCCGTGTCTCCGCCGCCTGCTGCTGCTGCCCCTGCCTTCCAACCGGCTGCTCCCACCTTCCAGCCGGCGGCGGCTCCCACCTTCCAGCCGGCCGCCCCTACCTTCCAGCCGGCCGCCCCTACCTTCCAGCCGGCCGCCCCTACCTTCCAGCCGGCCGCCCCTACCTTCCAGCCGGCTGCCCCTGCCTTCCAGCCGGCTGCCCCTGCCTTCCAGCCGGCCGCCCCGGCCGAGCAGTTCGTCGATGCTCTCAGCCATACGGAGGGCGATTTCGCCGACGCGGTCCCCGGCCCGGCGGGCGGCGCCCCCCCTGCCTTTGTGTCGCCGCTGGCGGCCCCGACCTTCATCTCGCCGGTGGCGGCCCCTCTGTCACCGGCGGCCGGCTCCCCGCCGCCCCCCCCGGCCCAGCCGGCGGCGGCGGCGGCAGCGCCAGCGCCCTCGGCCTCGCCGAGCACCCCGGCGACCGCGCAGCCGGCCGGGCCGGCCTCCCCCGCGGCCGACGCGCCGACCAGCCCCAACGGCAGTGGGCTCTTCTCGCGCCTGGGCGGCCTGCTCTTCGGCCGCGGGGCCAACAATGCCCAGGATGACTCCGGCCCCAAGGAGGTCAAGCTGGGCGAGGAGATGAAGCTCACCTACGACCCGGTCAAGAAGCGCTGGGTCCTGCCGGACGGCAAGCCCCCGACCGTGGAGGACACGCCGCCGCCGCCGCCGATGAGCTCGGCTCCCGGCAGCTCGGCCTCCCTGGCGGCCGGCGGCCCGGCGCCGGCCGGCGGTCCGGCCCTTTCTCCCGGGGGCGCGGCCCCGCCGCCGGCCCCGGCCCCCGGCACCGGCGGCGCCGGCTCGGCCGCCACCCGGGCCTCCATCAGCAGTCGCTATGTGGACCTGCTGAACCCGGGCGGCGTGTCGGCCGGGGCCCCGGGCCCGGGCGTGCCCTCGCCCTTCGGCGGCGCGCCGCCCCCGGTCCCCGGGTTCGCGCCGCCAGTGCCCGGCGGCGGTGGCGCCGGCCCCGGCGGCATGTTCGTCCCCCCGTCCTTCGTGCCGCCCTCCGCCGGGGCCCCGGGCGCCGGGCAGCTTTTCACCCCGGGGGCTGCCCCGGCGTCGGCCGACCCGAGCGCCTCCACCGGCTACATGCCCCTCTCGGTGCCCTACACGCCGTCCTACATGGCGGCCGCCTCGCCGGAGGACGGCCAGGCCGCCCCGGTCGCCGGGCACTGAGAGGGCGCGCTGCCCGCCTGCATCCTCCCCTCATCCCCTTTCTTTCCCCCTGCACCTTCCTTTGCATTTCCCTCCCCCCGCCCCCCTTCCCAATAGATCCCACCCTGGATGTGTCCTCACTCGCCTGGCGACAGGCGCCTTCCTCCTCGGATCGGAGCCGCCGGGGCCGGCCATCGCGTTTAAGCATACATGGAGCGGAGGTGAAAGGGGGGGGGCGGTCGGACTGGCGTTCGCCCGGGCAAGCCGCCCCCCTTCAAGGCTGGCCGGAGCCCCGAGCCCCCCGGCCGGCGAGCCAGTCCGGGGACCGGCGCAAGAAGCCCCCGGCCGACGGGCTGCAAAAGAAAAAAAAACAGCCGCCCGACACGCATCGCGGTGGAGCACCCTCGGCCTCCCAACGCAGGTCCCGGGCCAAGCCAGGGGGGCCCTGGTGTGAATATTCGCCCCCGCCGGCCCTAATCCGGCGCCCGTTAGAGGCCGGGGCCGGGCCCGCTCGTGGCCGGACAACACCAACGGCCGGACACGGCGCCGGCCCCGCGCCCCCGCCCGGCGCCCCGGCGCCCCGGCGCCCCGGCGCCCCCCCAGCGCGCAACATACACCCACGCGCAGCCATGCATCCCCCGCCCCCCAAACGCGCGGTGTCGGCCGGCGTCCTCGCAAGCCCGGGGTCGGTGATTATTGTGTTTCTTTTTTGGGGACGCCGGGGGCGGGGCGGGGGAACGAGGCCGCGCACATGTTTCGCCCGGCCGGTGGGGCGGCCGGCGTTGGGGTTCGGCGCGCGGGGTCCCGGGCTCCGCCCAGCGCAGGCCGATTTGGCCCGGCGCCCGGAGGGGCATCCCCCCCCCCCGCGCCCGCGCCC